TGACATCCCCAGACAACCAGGAACATAACCTTGTGTGATATTCAGCGATGGCCATAGTTCATGACACAGGTATAGATCGTAAATAATAATATTACTAAAGTGCGTGTCTGTCTACAATGTGACCACACCCCTTCGAGACCTAGGCCCTATTACTCCAACCAGCAATAGCGGAGTACTCTTGGGAATAAATAAACATTGTCATATGAAACAAAAACCCTCGTTAACTCCCACCCAAACTCCGATCCCATACCTCTACCCAGTCACAGGGGACTTGACTCCGTCCAGGACTTGTCACGACCTATTTTCCTCCTTTCTGATATTATTCTTTGCTTAGACAGTTTATTTCGTATATCCGCGAGTGTAGTTCTTTTCTTCTCTTTACGACAGGGTTCCCAGATTTCCCCTACATAAGCGCAACCAATAGAATATATATTCATGAAAATATATATTCTAAAACGTCCAGGCCTACCATTTCTAAAACGAACAGCAGAACTAAGAATCAGACTATCCCTCATTATTCTCTAGCACCCACACTATCGATATCGACTTAAAACTTGTTGAAATTTATGAAGAACAGCCTGAAAGAGAAACAATGCTGGTACATCTCCCATGCCAAATAATCTCCATGGCCTCCTGCATGCCCTCGGCACTCCACAAAAGGCCTAGACATGTTCGCACGTATTCTGGTAGAGCTTGCAGGCCTCCCTGACATAATACTAAATGAGACTATACTCCATCTTGCTCGAAATGTAACAACTGTCTGCTGGCTTTTGCTGGAGCGCTGAAAGAAGTGCAGGCCACGATGATCACTTGGCTGGCTGTGCATGTATCATATCGGCAATTTTCCCTGTCTAATAATAAAAAAAATATTGGTAAAATGGACGGAGAAAGTACACATATCACCCAGTTGCTGACGACAAAAATAAATTTTCCTTTTTATTTTCAGTATAAGAACAAAGACACTTTTTTTCATATATAATATGTTTCTCCAATTTGTTTTCCATTCGTGATTTATAAATCATCCTTCATTTTCACACAATATCACTTGCTATAAAACAATGACACCGCAACACACGACATTTACAAGACACGTCACTCAGATCACATTTATACCCATTTTCAGACATCAAAATCATCTTAGTAAAGCATAATGACTGATAGCTTTTCTGCAACTATCACGGACTTCGTTTAACGTTCGGAAGATTTTTTTTCCGAAGGATCGGATCTTTAGCTTAGCCACATAATCACTCGTTTTTTGAAGGTAACATAAGGAATGCTTGGAAAAAAACATCGTATACATTTTTCAGCTTCACGAAAAGCGTATTAGCCACAATAGGAAGCCACTTCCAACGATAATCTTAATCATGGACGGAACGAAACCACGAAACATTTGTGCCGGAGCTACGCCATATGGCCCTTAAATCACCAGAGAATAATGACACCACCCCGCGCCTCGTAACGCGTTTCTCTGCATTAAAAATCCCCCGTCTACGGAGCCCAAAGGCGCCCCCCGTCTTACCTCCGGTTGACGTCGTATCTGAGGGGCTGGTCCCAGAAGGACCCAATGTAGACCCGCGCGACCTCGGGCGTGTTGAGCACCTTGCCCAGGGACCACATGAGGGCGCCGTACACCCGCATGAGCTGCTGGTGGTCGACCATGTCCGCCTTGTTGAGCACGATGCGGATCTTGTCATCGTGGCCCCGCAGCGCCTCGATGGACCGCCGGAACTCGTCGCTGATGTCCAGCTTGTGGGCGTCGAACAGCAGGATGATCCTGTCCACCCGCTCGGCGAACCACTCCAGCACGCCCGTGAACTCGTAGCCGCGGTCCACGCGCTGCTTCTCGCCCGACAGGATGCCCGGCGTGTCGATCACCGACAGGCCCTTGAGCACGGACGACGACACCTGCGAGCACTGGAACCTGTTGAGGAAGGCGTTGCCGAACCGGGACAGCGGGCGGAACGGGCGCTTGGGGTCCACCACCAAGGCGTTGCCGGGGATCACGCCGTCGGTCTCCCCGTGCATGACGGCGATGAAGCCGTCGGTGGTGGGCTCGGGCCCTATGCGGATGCCGGGGAAGTCCCTCTCCAGCAGGTAGCGGATGAAGGTGGTCTTGCCCGTCGAGTACTGCCCCACCAGCAGGATCATGGGCTTGGCGTCGAAGTCGGGGTCGTCCAGGGCGGGCGAGTGGAAGTCGTGGAACTGGTAGCTGGACTCCAGGGGCTGCACCTTCGCCTTGTAGATCTTGCGGAGGCCCTCCAGCACCGAGTCGTACACGTCCAGCTGCTTCTTCTTCGCCTCATCTTTGTTGATCCACGAGAACATGGCGGCGGCGTCCCCCTCTCCTCGCTCTCTGTCACGCTCTCGCCTGCTGCGGCTTCGTCAGCGCCTCCTGCTACTGCTACTGCTGCTGCTGCGGCCACGGATGAGCCCGCACTCGACCCGCACTCGACCCGGAAGCTGACGGCGCCGGACTGAGCGCCGCGCCATCTGCCGCCCGCGCGCCGCACTAGGCCGCCCCGCCTCCTCCTCCTCCTCCCGCCTTATCGCCTCCTCCTCCTCCTCCTCCCTCCTCTGTCGTCTCCTTTTCGCGCTTCTACTTCTGCTCCTCCCGAATTTACTGTCTTCCCCTCTCCCTCCCGCATTTATCGTCTCCTCCTCCTCCTCCCCCTGCCTTTATCGTCTCCTTCTCTTTCACCTCTTGCCTTTATCGTCTCCTCCTCCTCCTCCTCCTGCTTTTATCGTCTCCTTCTCTTCCACCTCTTTCGTTTTTCGTCTCCCCCTCCTTCTCCTCCTGTCTTTATCGTCTTCTTCTCCTCTACCTCTTGCGTTTATCGTCTCCTCCCTCTTTTATCGTCTCCTCCATTTTTATCATCGCCCCTTCCACCTCCCCCTCTTACATCGTCTTCTCTTACTCCTCCATACTGTTTTATTCCATCTCCTCTTCCTTTTATATCCACATCCCCTTCTTCCTCCTTTTTATTCTCTCCCTCTTTCTCCATCCTTTTCTCCTCTTCACCCTACATGTTTTTTCCTAATTTCAATCCTCCTTCTTCCTCGTTCTCTCCTCTTCCTCTCCCTCCTCCACCTTCTTCTTCCTTTTCTTCATGCTTAAATCAATTTCTCTTCTTTTTCTCTTCCTCTTGCTCCTTTTCCCTCACGTTTTCTTCCATTTCTTCCTTTCTTTTCCTTTTCCTCATCTTTGCACACAAGTCTAGTTCTTTTCCTCTCCCTTCTTGAGTTTCTTCTTCTGCATCTACCTCTCCTCCTCCTCCTTCTTTCTCTTCTTTCTTTCATCCTCCTACCTATTTTTCTTCTTTCAACTTTCTCCCCCTTGTCCTCCTCCTTTTTCTCTTTCTCCTTCTCCTCCTCCTCTTCCTCCCCCTCCTCCTGCTCCTCCTCCTCCTCCTTCTCCTTCTACTTCTCCTTCTCCTTCTCCTTCTCCTTCTCCTTCTCCTTCTCCTTCTCCTCTCCTCCTCCTCCTCCTCCTCCTCCTCCTGCTTCTCCTCTTCTTCTTCTTCTCTTCTCCTTCTCCTTCTCCTTCTCCTTCTCCTCCTCCTTCTCCTCCTCCTCCTCCTCCTCCTCCTCCTGCTTCTCTTCTTCTTCTTCTTCTTCTTCTTCTTCTTCTTCTTCTTCTTCTTCTCCTTTTCCTTCTCCATCTCCATCTCCTCCTCCTCCTCCTCCTCCTCTTCTTCTTTTTCTTCTCCTTCTCCTCCTCTTCCTTCACCTCCTCCTCTTCCTCCACCACCACCTCCCCCACCTCCTCCTTTTCTCTTTTGCATATCTCACCCTTGCAATATGATGCTGCACTCTTGCATGCTCGTCTAGTTGCAGCTTGCATGCCTGTGTCACGCCGTCACTAGCTTGTCCTAGCTGTATCTGCATTAGCTTAGGAGTGTACTAGTCTCATTTTCGCACCTGCTGCCCTGGGCATCTGTGCTTTTAATTCCGTCATCACTGTTCTTGGAAGATGTACTTGCATCGCGTTCGAAAACACTCGGATTATGTTCATCTGAAGTCTGACTTTTGTCACGCACACACACACACACACACACACACACACACACACACACACACACACACACACACACACACACACACACACACACACACACACACACACACACACACACACACACACACACAGATATAGATAGATTGGTAGATAGATAGATATAGATATAGATATAGATATAGCTATATACACACATATATATATAGATATAGATATAGATATAGATATAGATATAGATATAGATATAGATATAGATATAGATATAGATATAGATATAGATATAGATATAGATATAGATATAGATATAGATATAGATATAGATATAGATATAGATATAGATATAGATATAGATATAGATATAGATATAGATATAGATATAGATATAGATATAGATATAGATATAGATATAGATATAGATATAGATATAGATATAGATATAGATATAGATATAGATATAGATATAGATATAGATATAGATATAGATATAGATATAGATATAGATATAGATATAGATATAGATATAGATATAGATATAGATATAGATATAGATATAGATATAGATATAGATATAGATATAGATATAGATATAGATATAGATATAGATATAGATATAGATATAGATATAGATATAGATATAGATATAGATATAGATATAGATATAGATATAGATATAGATATAGATATAGATATAGATATAGATATAGATATAGATATAGATATAGATATAGATATAGATATAGATATAGATATAGATATAGATATAGATATAGATATAGATATAGATATAGATATAGATATAGATATAGATATAGATATAGATATAGATATAGATATAGATATAGATATAGATATAGATATAGATATAGATATAGATATAGATATAGATATAGATATAGATATAGATATAGATATAGATATAGATATAGATATAGATATAGATATAGATATAGATATAGATATAGATATAGATATAGATATAGATATA